ACTTGTTGGTTGGTTGGTTGATTTATTTATATATTTATTATTTTAGAACAAAAATGGCAGAGGAAATCGTCCAGTTGTCAGATACAGAAGGAGCGGAGTCAATACCGGGAAATGATCATGCTGTTAATGCAGAGGGGAGACTTCATGATCATGGTATGAAATGAAGAGTATGGTYTGAATTTTTCTTTAATTTATTCATCGTTCGTTCGTTCGTTGTTTCGATTTTACTTCTCTCTAATTCTTCTAATTTCCACAGAAGAAAGTGAAAACACACAATTTGATGACGTAGCATCTGAAGAGCAGCAAAGTAAGTCAGTTTCATGTACGCAAGCAAAAACAGTTGACCCCTCTTCCCTTTCTAAGTACCACCAACTCCTCAAATGCTAGCCTGCGTAGCAGCCTCTGTTTGGGGGTTCTCTGTTTTGTGGTTTGGGGTTTGTGGGTTCACTGTATGGAGGTTTGTTGTTTTGGGTGTGGGGGTTCTCTGCTTGGGGGTTTGGGGTGTGGGGGTTCTCTGTATGGAGGTTTGTTGATTGGGGCGTGGGGGTTCTCTGTTTGGGGGTTTGGGGTGTGGGGATTCTCTGTTTGGTGGTTTGGGGTTTGGAGGTTTGGCGGTATGGGAATTGGGGTTTGGGGTTTGGGGGTTCGAAGCTCGTGATTTTTAAACTTTATTCGTGTTTCTCCCAACATCCCGCGCGCTCTAATTCACCGGTATACGTAGATTCATAGAGCTTCTATTGCTAAAATATGATCACATCGTTTCGTATTAATATTTTACATTCATTTTATGGGAAAAAAAAGAAAAGAAAGAAAAAGAGGTGGATAAGATGATTGAAAGTGATGATATTGATAAGATGAAATTGGTGAGGCCAAACATGTTGAAAGGACTATCAACAAACAGTCTTGAAAAGGCTTTGGACGTAAGTACAAAAAATAAACAAACAAAGTAAAGTGCGAAGCATCCTTTAAGAATGAGACTAACTTTTGCGTACAATATAGTTGGCGACAGAGATGCCAAAAGATGTTACTATATATGGTACTCACTACCTGAATTCTCATTGGTCGAGAACCTACTGATAATTCTAGCTATCAGCATGCGCCAGCGATGGATATTTATCTGTAGGCAGTTATCTGCAAAGACGAGCCTGCATGGGTGCTCTGTAGGTTGTTTTTTATATATGGTGTGCTATATWTTTTTAAACTTTTTTTAAAAATTAATTAATTAATTAATTTTTTAATTAAAAATCATAAAGTTTCTATCTTTGTATCAATTAATCTATTTGAACAATTAATATATGATAAAAAATTGATTCAATTTGGTTAGTTTTGATGATATTCGGCAAATGTGAACACTTGCCTCAACATTGATAATTCCGAATATCATCAAAATATTTATTATATCTAATATGTATTTATTATTTATATCATCTAATAATTGTTTACTATCATACGCAGCAACTTTTCCATTATCAAAGGCTAATCACACAAAAGTTGCATTAAGCTGCTGATAAAATCACGCAATCGCTATAGTAACGTTGCACGTCGTTTTCACACAATGAAACAGATTGCGCGCTAAGCTAATGCTCCAGTCAATAGACCTCTGTCTTTATCTTGGGTGTAATGTTTTGCCATTTCAAATCACGTGTCATTGTCTTGAGAATAAGATTCTTTGTTTGAGTTGTATTACCCTGCGAGCAGATTCTCCTTTTAACTCCTCTTCTCTCGTCCGAAGAGGAGTGAAAAGGAGATTCTGCTCGCAGGGTAGAGTCGTATCCATATTCATGTGTCTTTTCATGCACAACGGCAATACAAAGAAATGGTTCCCTAGGGAATGACACATGGTCTATAATCAGAAAACATTACGCCCGAGCTAGATAGGTTTATTTAGGTACGTTCATTGTCTTTCAATTGCAGTACAGCTCTAAGTTAACAGAAAAAGCCCAGCGTTCCAAAGTACAAGAAGAAGAATTGCAAGCCATTGCGAGTTCCATGGAGGAGTACGCATTCCATCTGATTGAACCTCTCAAGAAAGATCATAACAAAAAACAAATATTTAAACTCAAATTTGATCACATCGCTGCTAAAGCAGTGTTGTTGAAGCAAAAGAAGGTACTTGATGGCGCTGCTAAAAATCACGCTATTGCATTGTTATAGCAACGTAGCACGATGAACAGATCACGCGCGATGCTATAGCCCTGCAGCCAATATACTCTTTTAGCTTGGGTGTAATGTATTTYATCCACTTTATACGGCGAGTCATTTAATCAGTGAACTTGTACTATACGAAACGTGGCCATTTACTCCTCTAACTTGTCTCGAAACAAAAAAACACGCCAAATTCCAATTTGCGAGTTAGTTAGCCATGCCATGACTTAGAGGTTGTTTCAGGGTTCGATCTGAGAGTTAGCCGAGCCCTGACTTAGATCAGCCGAGAGGTTATTTAAGGGTTGTTTAAGGCTGTGAGTTAGCCGAGCCCTGACTTAGATTAGCCCAGAGAGGTTGTTTCGAAGCATTATCAATAAAATTCGGAAGTTGTTATTACTATTGCTTTTATATTGCTAAAATTATTCATTCCATTCTTCTGTTAGTTTCTAGCTCATCCGGTCATGTATGAACTTCTAAGAGATTGTTGGAAAGGAATTTTTCGGTCGGAGCGTTCCAAGTTCGGATGGATGTTGTTATACTCCTGGACTCTTTTTGACGTGCTGCTGTTTCCTATCATTTACTTTATTTTACACTTGATTCAAGTGTTTGGACGTGTGTGGCCAAAAAGAGGTTAGTAACCTAAAATTATAGATTGCTTTGGCTGTATTGAACCTGTGAAACAAATATTAGTTATACAATGGTTTTGAGTTGCATACCATGGGATATCCCATCAGACATTAGGGCGTTTTAAATTTCTTGCCTAAATGTTTTGGTATTTACAATGATTAGAGATAAAAGATATTAGTATACCACTTTAACAATTAGACGTCTCACCCTCATGGTCTAAGAGTCAATAGGGGATATTATGCAGAATAGGTCACCTCCCAACTTCAAGATCAATTCAAATATTAGAGCCAAATATCACCCAATATTTTACCATGCTAGACTTCATGCTACCGGTCTAATTGTTAATTGTAACATGCCAAGAGCTTCGTCATATCGTTTTAATTAACGAGTTTAATTTCAAATCATATCGCGAACGAGGGAGTGAGCGAGTCTCTAGCCTCTTGGGTCGCGGGTTCTTAGCCTGGACTTGGCATCACATGTGAAAAGAGTTTGTTAGGTCTTTTCCTTAATTCGAGGGTTTTCCTCCCTCCTCAAAATAATCAGTTAACTCTTAAATCAATCTGTAACTTAGCCGTGCCCTGCTGACTTTGATCAGTTCAGTGGTTGTTTCAAGGTTTGATCTGTGAGTTAGCCGTGCCCTGACTTATATCAGCCCAGAGGTTGTTTTAGGGTTCTATCTGTGAGTTAGCCATGCCCTGACTTAGATCAGCCCAGAGGTTGTTTCAGGGTTTCATCTGTGAGTTAGCCATGCCCTGACTTAGATCAGCCCAGAGGTTGTTTCCGGGTTCGATCTGTGAGTTAGCCATGCCCTGACTTAGATTAGCCTAGTGGTTGTTTCAGGGTTCAATCTGTGAGTTAGCCGTGCCCTGACTTTGATCAGGCCACAGGTTGCTTCAGGGTTTGATCTGTGAGTTAGCCGTGCCCTGACTTAGATCAGCCCAGTAGTTGTTTCAGGGTTCAATCTGTGAGTTAGCCATGCCCTGACTTTGATCAGCCCACAGGTTGTTTCAGGGTTCGATCTGTGAGTTAGCCGTGCCCTGACTTAGATCAGCCCAGTGGTTGTTTCAGGGTTCAATCTGTGAGTTGGCCATGCCCTGCGACTAAGATCAGTCCAGAGGTTGTTTCAGGGTTCTATTTGTGAGTTAGCCGTACCATGACTTAGTTCAGCCCAGAGGTTGTTTCAGGGTTCTATCTGTGAGTTAATTAGCCGTGCCCTGACTTAGATCAGCCCAGTGGTTGTTTCAGGGTTCCATCTGTGAGTTAGCCGTGCCCTGACTTAGATTAGCCCAGTGGTTGTTTCAGGGTTCAATCTGTGAGTTAGCCGAGCCCTGACTTAGATCAGCCCAGAGGTTGTTTCAGGGTTCTATCTGTGAGTTAATTAGCCGTGCCCTGACTTAGATCAGCCCAGTGGTTGTTTCAGGGTTCCATCTGTGAGTTAGCCGTGCCCTGACTTAGATTAGCCCAGTAGTTGTTTCAGGGTTCAATCTGTGAGTTAGCCGAGCCCTGACTTAGATCAGCCCAGAGGTTGTTTCAGGGTTCTATCTGTGAGTTAGACGTGCCCTGACTTAGATCAGCCCAGAGGTTGTTTCAGGGTTCAGTCTGTGAGTTAGCCGTGCCCTAACTCTAAACCCATCGGTCAATACTAATTTTCATCATTTTTTATAACCTTTTTTCATATTCCTTGCCTTAGCCAATGGTACCTATAGAAAAAGCGATTTCTATGGTGAGTATTTTTATTACAGATTTCTAATAAAGTCAGAAGCAAAATCAAACTACAAATTTTATATTTCTTTTTAGTTACCTTATTTTATCTTCAAATTTGACACTGCAATCAAAACCTTAAAATTGGTTATCTTCTTTCGAAAAAGACAACATGCTTAACTTGTTCGAATTTGTGCCTGAAAAAAAAATTTTACTGAAAAAAACTTTTAATCCACTTTTGGTTCATCAGTATTTTCTCTCTATGTTGCTATAATGTCTATTTATATGGTATTGCGACTACCATCTAAGGCATCTCTTGGTCCCCGCGAGACAATTGCGTTTGTGTAAAGGGCTATAAAGCGTCATGGCGTCTCAATCGTTAATATAGGGAATAAAAGAATCATTCTCAAGAAATGGCACATGGTCTGAAACTGGAGAATATTATACCCAAGTAGGAGAGTCCACATCAATAAAAGTTTTGTTATTTTCAGAAACCCTTTACCACGAACGTTTTAAGACGCCCTATTTTATTTTCGTACGGGACATGCTAAGCTACTTTGCACTTCTGGTCCTCCATTTTTTCTTGTGCTTCCAGCCTTCTACTCTTCACTTTATTGTCGAGGAATGGATCATCCTGATTTTCTTCTTGGGCAGATTTATGATGGAAGTTTACCAAGTTGTGAATGGGTTTAAAAATGTAAGGCAGACGTTCAGCAATTATCTAAGGTAGATGGCCTATCCAGCTTAATTTCGATTTCTTAACTCTTACTTTTATACCAAAATAACAATACATTTGTAACATGATCGAGTATGTCAAGTTTTGTTTTGTAGGTTGGTTTTATAATGGTTAAATTAATGTTTCTTCTACCAAAAAAAAATCATTTCCTCGCTATTTACCGCTGTTAGAGCGCGCGCAGGGTACCACAGCTTAGCTTGCTCGCATTCATGTAATTTCAAACATAAAATCTGTGACCAATTATACCATTGTAATCCCTGAAAATGGTTTCTAATGCCCGAAAGTTGGGAAATAAATTGTATTCATTTTGGTTGAAGAAACATTAGTTATGTTTGAAATTACATGAGCATCTTCATGTATTTCATAAGTGCTACGCGGTACACATATTCTCATCTTTAATTATAATCGAGTATATTTTTGTTATGCTTAATCAGGTTTTGACCATCGATTACATCTGTTACGTATTTCTACTTTTTTTTGCATGCATTGTTTTTCCATTCAACTCATCGAATCCCATCTACTCCAACTCATTTGCCCATCCATCCCATCCTATCAACCCGAACGCACTTGTCCTCATGTTTTTAATATTTCATCCATTCGTCCATCGTATCCTTTCATTATATTCTTATTATTTTATTCCTATCAATAWTTAATACTTTGCTTCGTTCTTCCTACTTAATGTTCGTTCAGATAATTTCTTCAAATCAATCTTTGTGTTCATTGTTCGAATTATATTTATGTTCAATATCCAAAGAACAGAAAGGTAAATTAATCAGACATCGTTTTATAATCAAATTAGTGACTCGTGGAATCGTCTAGATGCCGTCACCCTAACAATATACGCCGTACTGCTTATTCTACGAGTGATCACGTGGTCTGTTCATACTTCTATTTCAAACAATCCCCTACTGGTCGGAGCAGGATATCTTTATGACATAAATTCCATGCTGTTGACGTTACGCGTGTTTGGTCACATCATAGAGTTAAAGGCAAAATTTGGGACCATACAGATAGCTTTGTTTCAAATCACTGAAAATATTGTTGCAGTCTTTGGCCAGCTCTTGGCAGTTATTATTGCTTTTTCCCTTGCCATTTCCAAGATTCGTATGACACAAATTTCGTTTGAAGGGACACCAAGTACTGTCTTTCTCGAAAGGTAAGACCTTGTTTTGAAACTAGCTAAAGGTAAGGTGGCCTTACTAAAAAGCCTCTCATACTGAAAAAATGTAACATTTAGGGGGCCCAGATACTGAATGAATGGAAAATGAGATCAAATGGGGTCCAGATACTGAATGAATGAAACATGAGGTCAAAGGGGGTCTATAAACTGAATGAATGGAACCTGAGGTCAAAGGAGGTCCAGATACTGAATGATTGGAACATGAGGTCAAAGGGAGTCCAGATACTGAATGAATGGAACATGAGGTCAAAGGTGATCCAGATACTGAATGAATGGAATGTGAGCTCAAAGGGGGTTCAGATACTGAATGAATGGATCATGAGGTCAAAGGGGGTCCAGATACTGAATGAATATGGAACATGAGGTCAAAGGGGGTCCAGATACTGAATGAATGGAACATGAGGTCAAAGGGGGTCCAGATACTGAATGAATGGACCATGAGGTCAAAGGGGGTCCAGATACTGAATGAATGGAATGTGAGCTCAAAGGGGGTCCAGATACTGAATGAATATGGAACATGAGGTCAAAGGGGGTCCAGATACTGAATGAATGAAACATGATGTCAAAGGGGGTCCAGATACTGAATGAATGGAATGTGAGGTCAAAGGGGGTCCAGATACTGAATGAATGGACCATGAGGTCAAAGGGGGTCCAGATACTAAATGAATATGGAACATGAGGTCAAAGGGGGTCCAGATACTGATGAATGGACCATGAGGTCAAAGGGGGTGCAGATACTGAATGAATATGGACCATGAGGTCAAAGGGGGTCCAGATACTGAATGAATATGGAACATGAGGTCAAAGGGGGTCCAGATACTGATGAATGGAACATGAGTCAAAGGGGGTCCAGATGCTGAATGAATGGAACATGAGTCAAAAGGGGTCCAGATACTGAATGAATGGACCATGAGGTCAAAGGGGGTCCAAATACTGAATGAATGGACCATGAGGTCAAAGGGTGTCCAGATACTGAATAAATGGAATGTGAGCTCAAAGGGGGTCCAGATACTGAATGAATGGACCATGAGGTCAAAGGGGGTCCAGATACTGAATGAATATGGAACATGAGGTCAAAGGGGGTCCAGATACTGATGAATGGACCATGAGGTCAAAGGGGGTCCAGATACTGAATGAATGGACCATGAGGTCAAAGGGGGACCGATTCTCCGGAATCCCCACTTTAGTGGACCATTCTAATAACTGATAAAGAAATATTATTCACATTTTTTCCCAGTTGGTGGAGCATAGCGAAGCATCTTCTGTGGTCTTTTCTTCTAGAACCACAGGTACTTATTGTACCATATGAGAGGACGATCGTCTTCGTTCAGATTCTTTATGTGCTGTTTTTGATCATTGCCGTAGTGATGCTGATGAACATGATGATTGCTATTCTAACGAACACATACCAGCGAGCTGAGGTATTAAACTACAGAATATATACTCTATACCCTATAACCTGTACCCTGTACCCTGTACCCTGTACCCTGTACCCTGTACCCTGTACCCTGTACCCTGTACCCTGTACCCTGTACCCTGTACCCCATACCACATTATGCCACAGGTTTCCCAAGCTCAATTTAAGTTTCGATCGAATTACAGTAAATATTTGGCGTTTTTAAAAGATAAATTACCGGATATAAGCTAAGAAATACATTTGTAATTTTTCTTTAAATTTATTTGTTGGTATTGATCCGTTGTGGGTCTGGGATGAGTTTGAGGCCAATACGTATAGTATTTCACGAGTTACAGTAAATTTAAAAAAATTCAAACAAATAAAAACAAGCAATTGCATGCCCATCAAAATCTGTCGGGAACAGTTTTGAAAAAGAAAGTAAGATAAGATAAACTATTGTGCAGCAAATAAATGAAAAATTAAATCGTCCTTGTCTTACTAGCCTGCGTCCCCCAAGGGCCGCCACGCAGGCTACTGTTTTACTTTATTACGAGGGTAACACTTTTAAAATAGCCAGCTAGTGGATTACAAGCCTATGGCCCGTATTCCATGATCAAATACTCCAGTTTCGAGTTCTCTGTTGCTCAGGGTTAGCCTCGATTTTGTGCAGAATATTCATGTGTTCCAGTGAAGTTGCGTGGAATTTCAAAGTGTTTGTGTTGTTGAAGTCGTGTATTCTTTACTTTAATGTTGGTAAAGAGCGTTTTCACTCACGCGAGGCAGCCATATTGGTGTACCAAACAATAAAAACTTTCTGCAAAATTTTTGCCTCAAAATAGAATTCAAATCCCCGAGGATAGAAAATGTCAATGTTTTGGAACACCAACATGGCCGCTCTTACGTCACGTGAAAACGCTCTATTGTAAATATTTAGACACTAATACGAGGTAAGCCTGAGTAAACGAGGCCCCGTCCACACGTATCCGCAAATGTTTGTATCCGCAAATTTTTTTTGCTGATACGAAAATGTTCGCGTCCACACGCAGCGTATTCGAATCGTTTTTGACTCGTTTTCACTGTCCACACGTATCCACACGTACATTTCCGTTGGTTGCTTTGATCGTTAAAAATGAGACGTTTTTATTGTTTTTGTTATTGTAAAAACAACAAAAAATGACCAAAAAAATGGTTGTGTCTGTCTCCTCTCATTCACATCACATGTTCGTAATCCATTTTTCATGAAAGTAGTTTGCGGATCCATTCATTATCCTCGTGGATCCACACTACTTTGACAATGGATGATTAAGTTTACCATCAATAAGAGAACAGACACATAAAAAACTGCAGTGAATTTGTAAATTCTCAATCTGTGTGTAGCAAATCTTGTGGATTCTCCCGACTTTGACAATGTGTTATGACGCAATTTATCGTCAATAAGAGGACAGACACATAAAAATCTGATGTCTATTTGTTAATTTTCGTTAGGGACATGAAATATCACGGGGTTCAAACATTTTATCGTTGTTTAGTAACTACTAAACACCTCTCTCTTTATAATTTTCTTTTACAGCGCAATGCTTTTCAAGAATGGTCTTACAAAAAAGCAGCAACAATACTCACCTATTGCAACTATCATCCTGTACCTGTTCCATTAAACATCATCTCGCTTACTTTTCTCCTGATGCGGAATTTTTATAAGAAGATTCGTTGCAGAAGCTCCACCGTCGATATTGAAAAAGACCCTAAAAAGGTAGCACTTGACAATGACATAAAGGTAAATACTGTTCCTTTACGTTAGGCTGGGGTCTAACTCGAAATAGACACTTTTCGAGTTCCAAATTACCGTGACTGTGTTCCTTGATTACAGACTCATTTACTCAGGTTAGCCTCGTATCAGTGTCTAAATATTCACAAATACCATCGGTAAAGTAAAGAATACACAACTTTAACAACCCTGAACAACAGAGAACTCGAATATGGAGTATTAACCTAACGGTTCATTTAGACTCCAAGCTCTAACTTGAAATTCCAATTTATTTATTTTACCTCAAACAACCTGTATTTTTTCTTGCTTTTTTATATAATAATAATAATTATTATTATTATATACTACTTCGTCCATGGCGACGACTTCCCCATTAAAGATGGTTCGTGAAACTGTTCCTTATTTTATGCTTCTTCCTTAACGTTATTATTTTTACTTGGGTTTTGAATTAGAGAATCTAAACATATAGGCTCAGATTTCCAGCCGTCGGGGTTTCGTGCCCCCGCGATACTTTCCTCCCTATCCAAATATATCAGAAATGGTATATAAGCAATACTTTCCGTTAAAATATACCACGTTTTTTTTGAAAGCCAAGCCTTTTTGAAAACATGACATTTTGTAAGATAAAATAAAGCAAAATATTGAACTATCATATTCATTTCGAACCTTTTCCCTGGTCCTCAGGAGGCTTAAGTTAACAGTACTCCCCTGTATTAACAATGCACACAATATACCTTTCTGAAAATTAAAATTTATTTAGGGGACCGACTGGACCATGTTGTAAAGCAGACGGATGAAAACCGTCATCTCATTGGACACATCGCAGAACGGTTATTCACTCATGGTCCCAACGGGAATGAAGGCGCTGGATCAGATAGTAGGCAGAAATGGGATGTCAAAGGAATTCATATTCTGGGCAACCGCTTGTCATACGACTCGCGTGAATGTCATAAAAGTAGTGATGCTCATGAAGAATATCACGGGGCGAGGTATCTTGCACCTTTATCTCCAGAAATGCCTGGCTTTGAGGTAGGAGCTCAGTAGTATAGGGGATGGGGGTTCCAGCGCAACGACAACCGGAGGATTACCCGTCTAAAGTACCCACCTCGATTCGTACCGCGATTACCCGCATCCCG